GTGAAATCTCGTAGGATTTCACTTGCCTGATACTCAGCGGCGAGACTCGTGTTTCCTGACTGGTCTTTGACTATTTTGTTTATTCCATTTGTTGTTTATCACGTTTTGCACAAATTATTTCCATTCCAAAATTAAATTTTTCAACCATACACGGAACTTAGGGAATGTAATATTGTTCAAAAAAGATGCAACAATGAATTGTTAGGTATGAAAGGAAATGAATTGGAATGTTCAGGTAAAATGAGTATTAGGATTTAGGATTCTATTCGGAGGGATTAAGATCCAGAAGATTTATGACGGCGAAATGCAGTCAGTTTCTCATTCTTTTGCTATATGCTCATATTACGCTCATTCTTTTCGGGATGCTTGCAATATTTTTCATTCATTTTCAAAGAGTTTGATAGATTCTTTCATTTTTTCAGTTATCTGTCTGGGATTGTTGTCGTTCTTTTCATATGGTCTTTGTGAGCGTGACTAACAAGTGTTTGATGATCAGAGGTATGCGTTCCGATCGAATTAGTCAGTGAACGTGACAATCATATTAATAGAAAATTGTGTAACAAGCGATTTCAAGTGAGCATTTTGGAAAGGGGATCGTAGTTCTGCAAATGGATTCATGATAAACAAGGGAAATGATTGTCGAATCATGAGGAGAGAACCGAAAAAGTATCATTTCAATAGATCACTTGATCACGATTGAAAACATTAAACGCATGGTTGACGAATAAGTGCAAGCAAGCATTTTATTTTAGATCTGGTATATGAGAATCATCCAAATTAGGGGTGTTCAAAAGTTCGGAATGTCTGGAGTTGAAGTATTGTTTTCAGGATCAATGTGAGTGACCGATTGGTTTATTGATATGTGGTATTGGTTATTGAAATGGATGGTTCCCAGTGCATTATTGCTGGGAATAATAGAGGGTTCAGCTGAAGAACCTATTGAGAAAACGTGGCTTCGTAATGGAATTATCCATGAAAAACTGGGAATTCTTGTGTTAGTACTTAAATTTACCAGATTTTTCATCCACCACTATCTACTGTGATCAAAGAATATTGCATAATCAAAAGTGTGATGAAAGGATACTGCATGATGCATCGTTTTTTTGATCTTCTTACCGGATTGAATCAACACTCTATTCAGTGACTCAACAATCGCTCATTTCTCACGACACTTTCAATTTTTTTCGAAAAAAATTTAAAAATTCAGCTTCTAACTCTGAAATCAGCTGAGAGAGCATAATTTCGTAATGAAGAAAATGTCCAGCTCATGCAATGATAAAGATATTTAGATGCTCCAATATTCCAGACATCTGCTTTTTTCGCATTCGTTTAGTTTTTCCGTTAAATTCGAAATTTTCTCAAACGGCAGCTTCTCAGAATCATGATAGAGGAGGAAGACGCACCGAGAAGATGCATGCAAATTTCAGCTGGAGAGATACCGACCGGGAAGAGGCATGTCTTCCGGTACAACTGCTTCTAACTCCGTTATTTGCAGATGGTTGGCGTGAGCAAAACGGCTCAAAAAGCCTCCGTACACTCCTCAGCGAAGCGGTTAGTCAAATCTTTTGGTGAATTCAGTTCATCGCGTGGCTCTTTCCATCGCAGTGTGCTTTATGACTTGATGTTTTTGCTATTGAAACGATCAAGAACCAGGTGCTGATTATAGGGTTTGCTAACAGAATACGTGAAACGAGAAAATGGTGTTAACGATGAGCTCACCAATCGATTGGAACGGATTTGTGAAGAGTATGCTGGATCGAATGAAAAGGAGATCAAAAGTATGATCAAAGGATATTGCACGATGTATTGCTTCCTTGATCCTTTTAGCGGACTGACTCAACGCTCTATTCAGTGATTCAACAACAACTCATTTTTCATGCAATTTTCAGTTTTTTCGAAATAAATTAAAAATTCCATTTAGAATATCGAGAAAAGAAATGAAATTGTGCTGTCATAAGGCGATTGCTATGAAAGTGTTATACTTTAAGTATAAGAATAATTAACGGCAATATGGAATTAATCAGTGCTTACTCCGTTGAATGTCTAAAGTGATATACACACTATTGTGGTGGTAGAGTCGTGGATTTGTAAGATTATTGATGGAACTGATTAATGGTGCCATCATTCAAAGCGATATTGTTGATGGTAATTGAAACGCTGCTTGTGGTGGTTTTGGAGGTGATTGTGTAAAGAATCGGTCTTCATCCGCATTACAAACTGATGAACCTCTCGTTTGAAGCATCAAAACCTTGTGCTGAAAAAAGGAGAGCCCAAAAATCGAGCAAACTTTTGTTTGAAGCAATAGATCCTCGTTGATGTATCCATTCCTTTTACAGCAAAGAGAGTGTGACCAGATGAGATAAATGTGCAGTCGAAAAAAATTGTAATCAACAACAGTCTGCATTCTAGGCCGTTTTGTTATGATTCTGTAGTGCAGTTTATTTATCTAGGGTGAACAACATAATCGATGGACCAGATTCGTTGTATTTTTGTTTTGAGATCCACAGTTGTCGGAGGAATGGAAGTGAATCTTGGTGCAGAATTTAGTTTTGATGAAGAGTATTGCAGAAAGTCGACGACAGAAACGCATGGTTGGTGCCAGTTTAGCACTACATGCAGCTCAAGCAGCCTGGAATATAAAGCAAGATTTGGACTTGAGGGCAATTCAACAGGAATTGAAAGAGCAAGCCGCTATGTTGAAATCGCTTAAAGAAGCGCAGTCGGACAAACAACGTCTAATTGAATTAACGAAACGTTCAGAACAAAGGTATAGAAGTATCACTGAATAAAAAAGATTATCAAGAATATAAAGATTTAAGTATCTTTTTAATGATTATCAAAATTCTCATTACCACACTGATTATTGTCATTAATATTATCATTACTGTTATTTGTATTGCTTAGCATTATCGATATTTCAGGTTGAATGTTTTGATGCAGTTGGAGTCACATTTGAAGGAAAAGAAAACTGTCTTCTTACAGTCGATCGAAACGCTCTTTCATACACATCGCATCCACAATGAACTTCTGTCAGCTACTGAGCTAAATGGGGTTGGAATTAGTTGATTGAAACTTAATTTGAAATTAAATTTGATTGAATTCTCCTTTTCAGATGGTCCATTTCACTTTTTTAGATGGTTTCGATCAATAGAAATGATTAAAGCACATCAGAACTGGCATTGCTATGTTTTTCATCAGAAGTATCATTGAATCGATCACTCAGTTGAATCGAACTCCTTAAATTAGTTTAATTATTAATTCAATTCAGATTGTTCGAACAATATTCGGCGACAGTGTATTCGAAGAATCTGCCTACGCAGAGCATCGTTACTTAACACTATTCTACGTTCAGGTCATACCACGTTCGTGTGATATCCGACAGAACGTGATATATTCTGATGTTTGTGTACCATTCATAGCTAGAAATCAGTTGCGAACATTATATCAGGTAACTTTTGCATGTGATGAATCGACTAAATCCTTTATCGCTTCACTGCATGTGAATTTTCAGACTGCCAAAGTGGCCCGATTCATGAAGGACTTTCAACTGTTTGCTCTCACCGACATACCAAAATACGTGGCTGTCACAGTCAACAAAACAGCAGAATCGGTGATACTAAGTGATCAGTGCCAACGAAAAGTATGAACTTCTCGCAGGAAAAGAACTTAGAATTAGTCAGTTTGTATCAGCTGTTATATCGAGTGAATGTATGCTGATTTAGGGTGGTTACGTTTATGAGTGTCCGTTGACACAATTGGATAAAACGGATTGCGATGTGAACACATTAAATGACTGTATAGTGCATATCCGTCGAATCGTGGGCAGTTTTACACATGTTCAACGAATTCGGGATTTGTATGTGGTTGCAACGAATGAAAAGGTTTGATNTTTTTTCCGCTAATCACGTTGATAGTTATTACTAATACTAGTAAACTATAGCTATTACAGGCTATAGTAGTAGTAACAGCTAAAAAACATTAATCTCCAATTTTGGATGGTAGCTAAACTCATGGTTTATCTGCACATTCTGATAGCTGAGGTCCGTTAGAATGACATAAACTGCACGCTTAACCTCTTTGACTAAACATGATCTGGAAATGACCACTTTCAAATTTCGAGCATCCATCTCGTAATGGTCACGATAGATCAAAGACTTAAAAGACGACGGCAATAAGAAATCTACTTACAATTAGCATTATCTAAAGAATAGATGTGTAAATTGTCAGCGAGCGATTTCCTTCTATCAATGGAGTACAGTTTGATGGTAGTTCAACGCTTTATCTGCATATCATGTGGCGTCAAACTTGAACGTACAGATGATCTGAACATGGCCAATCATTCAGACCAGTTTTATGCTCACACATTCCATTTTTAGAGTTTTACCATAGGTAATTCGTCAATTTGGTTCCATCAAAAGATCTACTCACCTGTTTTCACATTGAAAGTTGCTCGGAATTGTGTGGCACGAATTGGGACTGAAGTTCTTGTGGGAACGGCCAACACAACATCATTTCTACAACATTATCAAACGGTAATTCGAAAACGCCACTGCTGTTTTATTATCTGATGATGGTTTTTATAAACGGTGGTCATAAAATAAAACAGAGAAATGTCGTCATTTCAGCCACTCAAAATTTACGTCGATGATGTGACGATGGCTGAATTTGATCAATTGGCCGATGAAAACGAAGCGATGACTGCCAAACTGAACGCTCATCATCGCAAAATCTCAGTCGCAATTAAAGCGATCGACCGAAGTTATACCGAGAAAGCGTTGGATCTCATCATGCGCTCATCATTCGGCTTATATCTGTTCTTCGCTATCGCATTTATGATATCGTTCAGTTGTCTGTATTTGTGTTGCTGTCGATGTGGTCCACTGTGTATTCCGTCGAACGCTCGCGAGTGGTACCATCATAGAACATTCACGGTTCGGAGTGCTTCCGACTGTGAGGAATGTTGTGCTGGCGATAAAGTTTAACGCGTTTTTTCTACTGCTTTCACCATTTCATTCTTACTTGAAGCATGGATCATAGTGTAATTTGCTTCAGCGACCCTAACGATTCATTCTACCAGTGATCAGCTGAAGGTGAATCAAAAATGTAAAGTTGAGAGCAAGGAATGCGTGAAGGAATTTGCAAACGTTGTGATGATTCGAGACGGTTAGGGTTTTGGATGGCTAGTGCTAGATGCATTCATCTAATCGCCTATTTCCATAGAAATTCACAATGTTTCGTAGCTGACTACATTTTTTTCCAGAGAGCTGTCGAAAACAATTCATTTCGCAGAGTGTTTCGTTTGTTTTTATGTGCTTTTCTGCTGGCTTCGTCTATGCACCGCTCGTTCACTTGAAACTGCGCTTTTTGATGACATATTTCGGAATGTGTCGTATTTTATTTTAGAATATCACATCTTTATGCTGGTTTTTTTTCGACTGCTCTATGAATTAATGAATTACGAAAGAATTCATTTGCGCACACGATTCAGCAGTCACATAAATTCTCGCCACCGATGCTGTACGAAAATTTGTGGATGTTGAGTGACTAAAGTATTATGGTTGATTGTCTCATTGTCGCGAGTACTTTTTGAGAACCTTTGAATGTGATTCGGATGGATGCTTATTATATGTCATTAATTTTGAGATTCAGAGCAATAAACATTCTGTTGCTATCTGCATATGATATAGCTGTTATCAGTGAATATCGTCTCTAAATAATTTTCATCAAAACACTAAACATATCACAGTACTAAACCCCTCAAAGGTTGAACACACTTGATCACATAACTCTGAGGTTGAAGGTGATATTGTTATCATCTCTGTACAATAAAGAGTAAGAGTACTGTTAATTTTGATTCTGTCCCTTTTTCCTTGACCACATAAGAAGAAAAATCGTGCTTGATAACGAACGTGATATCACTTATAAGTACCCAGAATAAAAATGAATAACTGATGAACCATTTGCAATGGTTAAAAAATTAACAATAGTAATACTGAATAAGCAAAATAAACAACTCACAATCACATTCGATTGTTCATCTATACGAAAGCATTAAATGAGGAGTAGTGAATAAGATTGTACAGATGATTGTTTGCAGTGCAAAGTAAACTGATAGGAATCGAACGTGATTGAAATTAGTTGCTGACTTTATTGCTGAAACAGTAATATTCATTGATGTGGTTGAATGTTACACTTTTACTTCATTCTATTATAAAAAATGTGGGATATTGATGCACTTATTGCAGACAACAGAGTATTGCTTCGTGAATTATCTTTTAACACCTGAACACTACAATTTATCGCCTTGTTTCCACACACGGAATCGATTGTTACTGTGAGAATATTTCGTTGAAATGACTTTTGCGTCGACCATATAACTGCTATTGATTGATAGTACATGCTGAGACTATAGTTTGGAGGAAAACAGAATAGATGAGATTATCATTGACGAACACAACGCATTTCTTAAGTTATTATAAACGAACTCTCATTAGTTTTGGTTGATTCGTTAAGTTGTTATTCTGTGACTGACTTTGTTTGCAGATTTTGCAACGTCGAAGAACAATGAATATTTCATTTGCGAGTAAAAAAGTTCTTATTACTGGTGCAAGTCGCGGTGAGTTGTCTGGTTTTTCGTTTTCTTTTTTATTTTGCAAATTCACTCACTATTTCTGAAAATTTCTCAACGAAATCATTAGGCTAGAATTACTTTCAGGAATTGGTAGAGGTCTTGCAATTGCGTTGGCCAAAGATGGTGCTGAAGTGGTTGGATTGGCTAGGAGCAAGACGGCGCTTGAGGAACTCACCAAGGCGGTTCGTTTTCAATCGATATTTGCAAACGGAATTCAGGAAATTCGATTTTATGACCAGAAAATTCTTGAGAATTTTATTTGTTTGACTTTAGTATCCGAATATCACCGGAGTGGAATGTGATGTAACGAAAGAAACGAATGTAATCGAAGCTGCACTGGTCAAACACCATCCGTTTGATTATCTGATCAACAACGCTGGAACCGGCATTCTTCAGGATTTTCTGCATATCACCACCGAAGCGATCAATCAGTGAGTTTATTCGTGGACACGTTCCCGTTGAATTCTACAATAGTTTACGAAGGCAAACTTCATGGAAAATCGCTCTTCTATAGTCAGATATTCATGAGAATTTTATTGTCATTTCATGCTCTCTTGAAAAGTAAGTTTCTTCAGCTTGATCCCATAGATGAGTTAATCAATAGATCGATGTTCATCGTCGGTTGGGGAAAAAAGTAATATTCAGTAAGAAGGAACAATTTAATCATGTTTTGCGGTTTGAAAAATGAAATTTTTTCGGGAACTTTTGAATTTTTTTCATTCATAACAGGTCGGGATATCGAATTTCGGCATGTGGCAAATAAAATATGCCGTAGTTTACAGGCAATTCGCTGTGAATGTTCGAGGACCGATTGTAGTTTCACAAATTGTGGCAAAACAAATGATTGAACACAAGATAAAAGGCGTAATTGTCAATATCTCATCGCAAGCATCCAGCAGGCCTTTGCAAGACCATACCGTATATTGTATGTGTGCACTTATACGAACATATCTCTTGTTAATGAATAATATTAATATAAGAATATCGCAGTTTTAGTTTGATATATTATTATGCTATATGTTGAGATTTGAAGTAATCCTGATGTTGAGATGAAATTTCCATTGATTATTCTTTATTGATTTCTATTTTCATTCGTATTTTATTCATTTCTATTTTTCATTCGCATTTTAAGGTTCGTCAAAGGCAGCGTTGGATATGGCCACACGCTGTATGGCTAAGGAGCTTGCCCCGTATTCGATCCGAGTGAACTGTGTAAATCCAACGGCTGTGATGACAGATTTGGGCAAAATGGTTATCACTTGTAACATTTATGCTTGATTTGGAAGAGTTTTTATTTGAAATGATTATATTCGATCGCAAATGAATGCTTTGATTTGAGGCTTGGAGTGATCCAGCTAAAGCAGCCACTCTTTTGGATCATATGTGCGTTAAAAGATTTGCTGGTAAGTGCATAAGTCTATTAACTATTCAACATTGAGATGTACTTGTCAAATGAAAATGCTCATGAAGAGAACTGTTATGAAAATATTTCGTACTGAAGTAATTATTCTCATGGATTTTTGATCATCTTCAGTCAAGTCTTTCTTTGATCGATTTGAAAAGTAATGTGAAAACGGTTGACGTTGTAAGCAGTCATTGTTAAATTGCAGAAGTGGACGATGTGATAAACGCAGTGTTGTTCTTGTTGAGCGATCGTTCGGCAATGGTGGATGGTGCTGCGTTGTTTGTCGATGGAGGTTTCACGAAGATGTAAACGAACCAAAACTTCCAAATTTCATTCCGAATCTGTTGCGAGTGATCTCATCCAGTAATCATTTATGTATCAAACGTCTCATCATTGCTTGTAACTCTTTCATTCGCAAATGCATAAATTCTATTCGCTGGATCATAACCATTGTTTCGAGTATGAAAGAGAAATTTTCAAAGAATGAGAAAGAAAAGTGTAG